TGTAATAATAACGTCCGTTATACCAGGACTGTGCTAGACAAGGACCTACATATAAGCATCCTTTGTATTGACTGTGTGTGCCATCAGGTGAAGGGAAGTGCTGATCGCAATAAATGGTCACAGTGTTTAAGTGTTAATTAGCATTGAACCAACTACTTCCCTCCCCGTCCTAAGCGAGGCCCTAGCAAACGCTCTGAGAAGGATCCCAGCTCTACCCACAGCTGAACTAGCTGACTATCACCTTTACCCCCTTTCCAAAATAAACCTCCGACTATTGTAAGCCGACACCACCTGAGCTTACTGGCGCCCAACCTACTAAGAAGAAGAAGAAGAAGAAGAAAGGAGAGGAGCGACGAACAACGCGTGACTAACCAATCAACAAGGGGGGGAGTGAAGGTGAGGTAAGGACGGTTAGAGAGAGGAACTCCGGTTACGAAGCCTCCAGCGTTCTAGCACACTCTTATTCTTAAACACATGGGCACAAATACAAGCAAAAGTGTAAATGTTCAAACCGCCTGACAGATTTATTGCACGCACAGAGGGTTAGGAAACGCTTGGTATGACACCAATACGAGGGTTTCTTTGTGACAACAAGTGGCCTCCTAAACTGAAGTCACTGGGGGTCCAATTCATGCAAGAAAAGAGGCTTCCGGAGGTACAATTCCTGTTATAAATCTATCGTGATGTGAAAGTTAATAAAGGGGTTAACCTGTAGTAGGGACATTGTTACTTAGTAGGAAAACAAGCGTTAACTCCTGACAATTATACGTTTTCTCTTTGGGGGAACAAGGATACCAATCAGAATGTAGCTTGGCCTACCCAGATAGATATAATTAAGTTAAGGCGTAGATTTCAAATCCAGAAGGAAGCAAAGCGGTCACATCGAACACTTTTTTTGGATCAGACCGAGCCCACTCGGTACGTAGGCCGCTAACTGGCCTGTTGTACCAGCCCTGGATGTTAGATGAGTGTGGAGCAGTCGGTGGAATGAGAATTGTTAGGGGAAACCGAAGTACTCGAAGGAAACCTGCCCCAGTGGCACTTTGTCCACCATAAATCCCACATGACCTGACCTGGGCTCGAACCCGGTCCGCCGCAGTGGAAAATCGGCGATTAACCGCCTGAGTTATAGCACGGCCACCCGGAACACTTTAGGGCAGCCATCTTGAGCACTCATATAGTAGCAGTTCTCCGGCGAATTCACATTCCGCAGTCTTCTTATGAAATCATTGCTTAGCAAGGGGCATGCAGCTGCTCCCAGGACTAAAACCCTGAAATGTAAACCATCTAAACATACGTTCCAATAAACAAAAACGTCCGTGGATTTAGTCCGCAAGCGAACAATACCGACAGACTACAGAATGTGCGCAGTGTGACTGCATAATAAGCCAAATGTAATTAGGGTTAGTTTCGTTATGGTGAAATGCTCGTGTCAATCCTCATATGAGTGAATGAATTTTTTTCCTTTTTTTTTCAATCCCCTTATTTCTCTTCATTTTCTCCTCCTTCCCTTCTATCGTCTCTTTCCTTCACCTTCATTTCCACCTCTTATCTCCACCCTCCTTAGCAATCTTCGTGCTGAGTCCTGGAGCGCCCATCCCTCTGCAACATGCGTATGTGCGGACATGCGCAGAGCATGCCGAATTGTATCACCCCACTTACAGCCTCACATGTAAAGGTAAAGGTGTCCCTGTGCTTCATTTCTACACCATGACGTCATATGAAGTAGAGGAGGTTTAGGTCCACCATTCTTGATCTCCGCACTAGATGGAGGTGAGTGCTCAGCTTCACGCGCTGGCCTCTTTATACCCGGGGAAAGATCCCCCCGGTAACCACTGGATAGGACACTGGGTAGGGCCCGGACCCGGGCTGGACCAAGGGAACAGTCTGTTATCCTTGGCGGGAATCGAACCCCAGTTATCCAGCCCATAGACTAGTTGCTATATCGACTGAGCTGTCGCGGCCCACACTAAGAAACCTACACCTAACTGTTAAACGCTAGACGTCGAGACAAGACCACAGAGCTGGTAAGCCTACTTAGCACCTGTTCGAGGCAACCACCATCAAGATGTCCGCATATATCGTACGTACATTCCAAGGAGATGCGCGCCCCAGTACTCAGCACAGAAGAACAGAGGTGGTAAGCGATGAAGATTGCTAAGAAGAGTGGAGAAGATGGAGAAGGGCGGGAAGAGAGAAGAGGTGGAAATGAAGGGAGGAAAGATGACGTAAGAGAAACGGGAGAAAACGAAGAGAAATTAGGAGTTGGAAAAAAAGATTTGATGTCGTCGCTACTGCTGAACTGTTCGGAAAAGCATCTCTTCACTGAAAAACTGGCCTCTGAACGATCTGAAAGGGTTATGCAATGACAAGGCAACCTTACAGCAAGAAGCAGTTTGTGTGGCATTCTGCCAACCACTTGTTTTGGCGTACGTAATGGAATTCCACACATGTCTTTTAATTTATGGTTAAAAATGTACTTGCACACGTGGGACGGACAGTTTCTGTTTTATTTCTGGAGGCTCTCCTCATTACTGGAGACCATCACTAGTATCCGACATGAATATTCTTACAGCAAACATTTATTGACCGTCATGAGGTACGAGGTTCTCACTCCAGTGACTATGAAGAACTGTGCTCTGAGACGTAACGCACTGTAGCCTGGTATATCGTTGCCAACGTTTCGGAAGAACCTGCTGTCTCTGTGTTCAGTGCAGAGCAGAAAGGCGAGCATGGAAGAATGTAGTATGAATATGGGAAACGGAGAAGAAGGCATGCCATCTGCCTAAGCAAGCCATGAAAACCTCTCCATTTACTCCCTGAAAGAAAGTAGAAGGGATATTTTGTAGAATTTCCGGCGATTATGTTTCTCAAGCCAGGCCAGTACGCCAAAAACCGCCCTTGTTAGGGCATTCATAATCGTCCCTTCTCCTACGTTCTATATTAATTTTAATTGTTCTCTCTTCCTCTCCTTCATCCTCCACTTTATCTTCGAATAAATTCCTGTTACTGTTTTGTTTTCTCCCAATCACTCTGCCCTCTGTAGGGTCCAAGTGACCTCCCTCTACCTCCTATCACTTGACTCTGAGCCACTGTTTCGCTCGAATATTCTTCCTTGGAGAACGACATCCATGCGTAGAGTGTAATATGGAGGCAGCAGATTCCACCGAAATGTTGGTACCCATCTACCAGACTGCACGGCGTCATGCCCAGGCGACAGCAGCCTTCGTAGTCACCGCCATGAGAAGATCAGATGCGTTTATTTTGTGAACTAATTCTGTTAGTTTTCTTTCGTGATCTGCTCTTCACACCACAGACTGTGTGCGGAGGATCGTCTTTTCAGCCTGAATACGAACTTTGTAACTGACTGAGAAATTCTGATGACAATGAAGGAACCAGAACTTGCATCTGTTTAGATGTTGCACTTTAAGTTTCATGTCCCTATGTTAATTTTCCAGTTCCAACATATTTTCATGCTATATGACAAATTACCTTTTCTCAGTCTGTTTTTGAGTTCATGGGGCACAGACACGAGAAAGCATCGGCAGACGCTCTGGTTGCGACACCCCGTGTTTATGTAACTGCGAGTGCACAGTTCACATTCATTTCAAGCCCTGGCTAGACTTCTTAGAAACTTGTTGACTGCATAAGTATGACTCGCCGACTTAGAGGTGGCCAAAGTTACGAGGCAACTGCTGAAGAGGCAGTGCTCGAGAATCCTGACTAGTATCGAGACTGTTCACTCCGCTGTGGCTTCAGTCGGTCTCCATAGTGGACGAAGTTCCCTGTGTGCTGCCCCCGCTCGAGAAGGAACTGCGGGATGTGTCCACGGCTAGAGCACTTTCGGGGATCTCCACAAACTCTCCCTTAGCCGGATCTTGCACATTCACGTAACTTACGAAGAAACTGATCTGCCTCTTGTTTCCTTTCCGTGACATGAGCTGTAGCGCTGGCAAAAACTTTTGTTGCTGCGGCAAACGTCGACTTTGGCGTTCCCTATCCCGGCGGGGGATCCCCAGCAGTCTGCGGGCCTCTCGTTGGATACGCCGGTTGCGATAGGCGAAGAGGCAAGGCGATATGAGAGCTGCGGAAACTAGGAGCGTGATGCTCGCATAGTGCACGTAGCGTGGTATGAACGTCAGAGTGCGCAGGCCCAGAACCGTAACGTAGGGCAGCCAGCATACCAGCGCCATGACGATAACCAGCGCCGAGACGCGGGCTGCACGCGTTTCCTCACGGTAGCGGAACATGCTGGCGTTTGAGATGCGATACTTGAGCGAGATCATAGTACTGCGCACGCTCGGCTCATCGCTTCCCGTCCTGGGAAGGGGCTCCGGCTGCTCGGGCGGCGTGATAGGTCCCGACCCCGTCTTGCGCCTGCGTTTGCTATTGGTGTGTGCCGCGGAGTAGATGCACACGTACATCCACAAGATGGCGATGAATGGCAGGAAGAAGACGAGGGCGAAGAAAATAGCGGCGAAGGTGGAGCGGTAATCGTCATGTTCGCTCCACTCCCCCGCTCCGTGAAGCACGCCGAGCAAGCAGGCCAAACTCCACGCGGCTAGCATCAGGCCGACAGAGCGTGCCTTGCTGATGCGCGCGTGGTAGCGCAGAGGATCCACCACTGCACAATACTGGTCCAGCGAGATGAGCAGCACGGCCAGCACCGACGCGACACACGTGGCTGCCGCCACACCCTCGCCTATGGGATGCTCGATGGCGTTCAGCAGTGCCAGGGGCAGGAGCACGCAGGTCGACGTCAGGTTGGTACACAGCAGGTTGATGACGAATCTGTTTGACAGCGTTCTGAGGGCCGGTCGTCTGTACAGAACGAGCAGGACGGTGGCGTTGGCAGCGGTCCCGGTCAGGAAGATGAGCGCCAGCAGCACCTCGCACAGCAGCAGCACCTTGTCCATACCATGCGCACGTCGCACCTGCAACGATAAGAATTTATTACGAACGCTGTGGCAGACCTTGGGCACGAGAGCCCAGCTGCTACAGCGGCTATTCGCATGGTCGCCATAGTGTAGAGGTAAAGGTGTAGTCGTCCTGTGCTCAACTGCGCAGTTGGATCTGTAACTGTATGCAGTCACTAGAGCCGGTTTGAACGCTGTGAAAAAAGAAAGAAAGAAATGCACATGAATGAAATAGGAAAACCCGAATAAAAACACCACTTTGCAATATTCAGGCGTAACCAGAGGATATAACGCAGTATAGTCAGTTGAAAGTCAATGTTTCGGAGAAGCATATACCTTCCATCTTTAGGGTCGAAGAGTAAGCTAAGAAATTAGGATCAAGCAGGCAATAAGCTTGGCATACGCTTTAACCCTGAAAATAGAGGCAATATATTGTTTTGATATGTCAGCTGACTGACGAAGCTACACGGCGTTATTTTCCAGAAGACAGCACTTTCACAGGCACCTCTGTGAGAAACTCAAGTCCAACAATATTGGCAAACTAACAGGATATCAGGTTGTGACTGAGACGTACTGCCTCCATCTTCGGGTTTGCAACAGTATATTTGCAGATACGCTGAAGATGTACCGATATGTACTTAAAATTGGAATACATCCTTCAAGACTTCCCAAGTTTGGGTTTGTCTTTTGTAATTATCCGTTTATGGTCCTGAATGACTGGGGCAGTGTTACAGAGTTCAAATACAGCAACAGACAAATTTGATGGGTGTGGGAATGGCGAGCGCACACTTCCTTGTTTCTTTCTTTGCATAACACGAATTGCTTATTCTAGCCAACGCCTTTTCCCCTAAGCCAAGGCTACAAGAATTTGGTGTAATGTCAAAAGTCTTGTTTTGACGCTTTGGGACGGGGCTGGGACCAGATTTTCTGCATTCTTCAGATACTGGAGAGAGAAAAGGCACAGTGCATCAGCTACTTAAGAGCGAAGACCTCTAGAAAGACTAGGATTCTCCTTGAGAAAGGAGGGGAAGAGGTTTTCTTTAATAGCAGAGAACCTATGAACTTTAAAGAATGAATTTTCTCCATAGAGTTCGTTAGTTCGTTAATGCTGTAGACTACGAAGTACTATTCAAACACCCGCATACAACATGTGATTACCCCCCGAAAAGATACAATTATTTAAGTAAGATATACAAAATGAGGAAACAAGATGGAAGTTTTTCATACGCTGAATTACATATTGCGTCATGAAGGAGAAGTGAAAGTGTAAGTCCATGCATTCCTAATCTCGCTACTTGACGAAAGCGAATGGTAAGCTTCACGACCCACCCACGTTAACCCCGGGGAATCAGCCCCACTGGATAGGAGGATGGGTGGACCCCGGAGTTGGTTTCAATCGGGCAGTGAAGAGAACATTCCCAACTTCCGGCGGGAATCGAAACCAAATCAATCATCCAGCTTGCAGCCTACTCACTATGCCGACTGAGCTATCGCGGCTCAAATAATAATAATAATAATAATAATAATAATAATAATAATAATAATAACAAAATTGATAAAAATAATGATAATAATAATTGTTTAATTAGTTCAGTATAAGATATGTTTCATCAACAGAGTTTTTGGCCCAAAGACGTCAACGTCCCTACAAACAAAGCGCATCTAGCGGAGGGGCAAAGCCTCGGCTATATCGAACAGGGACCCGAAGGCCAACAGTTTCCAAAGCAGAATAATAACGTGTGGTTCATATAGCACGCATAGGAAAGAAGGGAAATGTAGGAAGACATCACTTGGAAGCTCTGAAAGTAAATGTAAGAATAAGACTAAAATGGATCTGAAAGGAATAGAATCGGCAATGCGTGGCCTGGATTTAACTGGCTAAGGGCAGACACCAGCGGTCAGCTCTTGTAAACAAGTTAATGAACTTTTGGGTTCCATAAAGTGCTGGGAATTTCGTCACTAGTCAGTGACCTAGTCTCGCAAGGTTTCCGAACAGGCTGGTGTAGCGGTAACGATCTAGTCTTGTGTTCGGGAGATGCTCCTTTCGAATCTCTGCCAGCACATCTGGCTATCCTGACTAAGGTTTCCAAGGTTTTCCCCAGTCACTCCGGGCAAATTCTGGGATACTAATTCTATTAGGACAAGACGGCTCTCTTCCACATCGGTCCCAATTCAGTATTCCCAGTCTGCCTACTCTTCGACACTGTGTAGTCTGATATGCTGGCAGCGCCACACAAAGGGCTCTGCTCCATGACAATTAAGGGTTTCCAAGGAAGTGCGAAGATGACAGGCTCCTCTTAATGTACCACACCATGACGTAGGATGCTAATCCATGGCCACTGAAAGACACTCCTACCCGCGCGTGTGTGAATGAGTTTAGTTTAATGGTGCTCTATTATTAAACGTGTTCTAAACATGTGGGATACTTGCCAGGCTTATGTGTAATACGTAGCGGTTTAATTTATCAGGGAGAGTCCCTTTATTCCTGCTCGACGAACAGAAATACGTAATCAAATTAAACAATATGTGGGATGTCGTCATATGAAGAGACACCCACTTGTTGAATTGTTCCGTAAATATTTATTATAGTTGCACAGCACACAGTCGCGCTTGGGTCGGAAGAATTGAAGACTAATTGCTTGCTTACTTACTCATGGAGCTGAGCCCTTCTGGAGAAGCCGCCAATTCTGCAGCTACTCAAGAATTCCCCAGCATTTTATGGAACCCGAAGGTTCATAACCGTGTTCACAAGAGCCCTCCACTGGTTCCTATCCTAAGCCAAATCTATCCAGTCCATACCATCCCATCCTATCTCTCTAAGATCCATTCTAATATTGTTCACCCACCTGCGCCTTGGTCTTCTCTGTGATCTCTTTCCTTCTGGCTTTCCCACCAATATCCTATACGCGTTCCTTGTCTCCCCCATTCGTGCAGCGTGACCTGCCCACCTCATCCTCCTTGACTTGATCATTCTAATTATAATGTTGTATTTTAGCGTCCTGTTGCACTGATTTTCATCCATGATATGTACAGAGTTGCCGTCTTGTAGTGCACTCAATTTCACCTGTTACTTCACGACATGGGTCGATCGCTAGCTGCAGTACGTCATGTTTCGGCAACATAGTGCCATCATCAGGTGCCCTAATTACGCTAATCTGTTTCATTGCTTGCCTTTATAAAATTATTTAAAAAGTATTTAAAAAGTGCGTATTCGTCAACTATAATAAATTTACA